AGAGCGAGAGCCAGAGCGAGATCTAGAGGAGAGAGAGGGAAAGAGCCAGAGAGAGGAAGAGAGAAAGACAGCGACGGCGGCAACGACTAGCTTCGATTCGGTGAGGCAGAGGTCGGCGTGCTCAAGCAGCACTTGCAGGAGGCCATCGCTGGCCAGAGCCATGCCCAGGCCTGTCATCCGTTGTTTTGTGCGCAGCACTCCCAATCGGAATCCACGTTTGGCTGGTATATTGCAGGATGTCGCGAAAACCGAGCTGGCTGCCTGCGAGAAGTACGAGGCCCTGGCTGCCTCCATGAAGAAGAGCAAGGACGAGATGTCCACGCAGCTGGACGTGGCCACCGGAGCAGGGGCGATCTTGAGGGTGGAGAAGGACACCGGGAACTGGTGTTGCATCAGCGCGCGGTCTCAGCCCCTCCCAACGCCACAGGACCAGCTGCAGAAGGAAGTGTCCGGGTTGCAATCTGCTCGAGAGAAGGACCAGGCCTTTCCGTGTGTTCCCGGAGTCTGACTTCTTGCCTTCCTTGGTTTCCTAGATTTCTGGAAGGCCGTTCATCGTCAGTACTTCACGCAGGAGCAGAACAAGGTGAAGGAGTCTAGCTTGCTTTGAAGACTAGCCTGCAGCAGTTGGTGACATGGTCGGAATGTGCAGGAGCTGAAAATCCAGCTGATGGCCATGGAGAAGGAGCTCACAGATCTGAGCCAGGCGAAGAGCTTCGCGGACGACATGATGCTGACGTCGCAGAAAGAGCTCGCAGTGTCGGAGTTCAAGGAGGCCGGCCCTTCTCTTTTTCTGGTCTGACTTGCACGTCAAACCTTGTTCGCTTGCAGGAGGAGACGCAGAAGGAGCTCCAGAAGTACAAGAGCTTGGTGACGGCCATGGAGATGGGGTTGAACGACAGCAATGAGCAGCAGGCCGACGAGCATCGCAGATCTTTAATAGCAAAATGATCTTAGCCCCGAGTTTTCCTTGCATTGCTTTGCGAGGATCGCCTGAAGAGCCGCCTCAAAGAACAGGAGGTCAGCTGTTTGGTCCGCTGTCACATAGGCGTTGCTTTTCACTTTCACTATGCTTTCAGGAGCAGCACGCGCTCTCGCTAAAGCAGATGGAGGCACGCAGGGTAGTGACTGCCACACCATCATCGTGATCACATGAGATGATTTCAAATCCAGATGACACACACACACAGACCAGGACAGGATGAAGGAAGAAGCTACGGAGATGCAGGACTCACGCGAGCTGCTCCAGAAGCACCAGGCACTCTGGGTATGATGATTAAAAAAAACGTGAGCTGGGTCTTAGTCTTGCGGTCATCCATGTAACATGTGTACAGGAAGAGCACTCCCAGATGGAGGCTGCCATGACGGGATGGGAGGACGCGGGCCACCACACTTTGTTTGAGATTCATTCCTCGCTCGTGTTCATAGGGTCTAGTTTAAGGTTTAGGATAAAGAGTGGGAGGACAAGGCTATGTCTTTGTGGACACAGCTGACGACGACTCAGGCTGCGACGGTTGTTTTCAAACGATCCGACACGGCCGCCTCGCATCTGTGCAGGAGCTCCTGTCCGAAGCCAAGGCTGCAAGATCCAGCAAGGACCCTATAACTTGTTCCATGTAAACGACATGTTGCATGCCGTCAAAAAGCCGCACTGCAACTTTGTCCTCACAAACAGGAGATGCATGATCCTGAGATGATTCCGACTGAAGTGGCGACTCCAACCCCGGCCCCTTGCCCATCGCCTACAAGTCCAGCAGACTCGTCCTCCGAAGGTTGATCCAGCTCTCGAGGTAGCTAAGGTACGCCGATAAGCACCTGGGTAGATAACAGACTTGTGTGGGGTGAGTCCACTGGCAGACACGGGCAGCCCGATACGCTTTCGGAAGCTGCTGTCAAAAAAAAGGCACGCTGAAAGCACTGCTGCATGTGACAGGGAGCACGTGTGTGTGATGGCTGCACTCGCACGGCGTCGTGGTCGATCTGCACATCTTAAACGACTAATCTGTGCGTCTGAGGCCCAGACTTGACCCAGTGAAGGTTTGCGTCCAAGCCTCGGAATCTTGTTGTGCATGGAGGGTTGGGTCACGGGTCAAACAGTGAAAATTGTACCGGCAAGGGTCTTCGGTACCAGACTAGCAGCTAGCAGATTGTTCTGTTGGGATGCATGTCTCTGTAAGGCATTGCTCGAAACATGTGCTGGGTGACCCACGTGATACGAGGCCGATTTCTGCGAGCGCTCCTTAGCGGGGCGTGGGTAGTGCGGGGGGGGGGGGGGGGGGGGGCGGGGGGGCGAGGGGGGGGGGAGACTTGCGCTGTCGCAGCAACTGCCCTGCTTTGCGCTGTCGCAGCGCCAATTAAAAGGACGGGCCGGGGCGCGCTATCGCAGCGCGATCCCCCCTTACTATTTGCTGGTCCAGGCAGGGCGCACTGTCGCAGTGCAGCACCCCCCTCTTTTTTTGCTTGTCCTCCTAGCTCTGGGCAGGGTGCGCTATCGCAGCGCAGCCACCTGCCTCCACTGAATTCATTGCCTGCGTGCGTGGCTCCAGTAAAGATGATTAAAGATGTAGATGTAGATGTTAGTTAGCAGGGGGCTAAGAGAAGTTAGTTGTTTATCCCGTCTTTCTCTTGATCCTGCTGATGCTTGCGCAACTTCTGAGTGGGGTATAGGGAAGGGAGGGGATGGGACGGGAAGGAAAGGATAGTGGGGGAAGAGGGGAGAGGAAGAGGGAGGGAGGGAGGGAGGGAGGGAGGGAGGGGAAGGGGGAGGGGCAGGGTGGGGCAGGGGAGTGTGTGGACAAGCATGTGCGGGGGGGGTCCCTGTGGGGCCCAGCCGATGCTCATGATGCTGGCCTGGGTGTGGGGGCCGCATTGTCCGGACAACGCCCGGGGCCCAGCTGATGCTCATGATGTTGGTTTCGGTGTGGCGGCCGCATTGTCCGGACAACGCCCGGAGTCCAGCTGATGCTCATGATGTTGGTTTCGGTGTGGGGGCCGCGTTGTCCGGACAACGCCCGGGGTCCAGCTGATGCTCATGATGTTGGTTTCGGTGTGGGGGCCGCATTGTCCGGACAACGCCCGGGGTCCAGCTGATGCTCACGATGCTGTGTCCGGGCGCACGCGGCTGTCCGGACAGGCTTGCTGCACCGGAGGGGTGTCGGACAGCTGTCTGGACAGCCCGTCTTGCTGCAACCCACCCAACTTTTGAAACCGGTGTCTGAACAATTGAGGAATTATACTGTTTCCAAGGATAAGCAAATAATTTTTGAACTTCGCCCAACTTGAAAACATTTCTTTGCTCCAATCCTTTCCGTCCCTCTCAGCTCTCAGCCCCCCCCCTCCCCTCCTCCTTCCACTCCCATCCTTCCCTCCTCCTCCTCCTCCTCCTCCTCCTCCTCCTCCTCCTCCTCACCGTGTCGTAAGGGGCAGGTGGGGTACACGAAGAAAAAAAACGATTTCTACACACGTGCATACCTCTTCTACTTAAACTGGAGGAGATTAGATTGGATGATATTTTGTGTGTATATATATATATATATGTAATGTGTTTGTGCTCTTCTTCATGCAGCTGTGTGCTACTGGGTGGGTGTGTGTGGCTGGGTCTTTGAGGTAACTCGGGCAGGATGGGGGTGGGGTGGGAGTGGGTGAGCGGGTGAGTGGGTGAATGGCCGACTGAGAGGGATGGGTGAATGGTAGGATGGTGGATTTGTGGGTGGATGCATGGACGCATGGATGCATATGTATATGTATAAGTATATGTATAAGTATATGTATAAGTATATGTATAAGTATATGTATAAGTATATGTATATGTATATGTATATGTATATGTATATGTATTGATATATATATATATATATACATATACATATATATGTATATATGTGCTATCACCAACCTCTACTAATGCCTAGTCAGCCTGGCAGGCTTTCCTGGGTGGGGCGCGTTATCGCAACGCAGTCTCCACCCATTTGCTAACACTAACCTCTACGGGGCGCGTTATCGCAACGCAGTCCCCACCCTTTCATTTTTTTTAGCGTGCGCTATCGCAGCGCATCGCTGGCAGTGAAGTTCGCGATGACGGCGTCCCCGTGCTTGCCTGCAGGGCCCTGAAAGATGCGAGGTTAAGGTTTAGGGCTACTCTGAATGTAGGGTTCAGGGTTGTGGGTTCAAGGGCCATAAGGACGCGAGGTTGCTGGGGTCTAGGGTGTGCAAGGTTTAGAGTTTAGGGTTTGTTCACGTATAGTGTTTAGGGTCAAAGAGCATTCAGGTCTAAGATTTTACGTTTGGGGGGTTAAGGTCGGGATCCCGACAACTAAACTTTAAAACCCAAGCCTCAACTCCAAACGCTCGAAATCCCTGCAACAAACAGATCAAAGAGATGATTACAGCCCTTCTTAGACCCTACAAAACCAACTCTCTAGGACCCTTCAGAGAAATTCATGTGATATCACAGTATGATATGATATAACATGATATAATAAGATGCAACATATGTATCCTCTACGACGGATGCATGCATGCACGTATGCACGCCCGTGAATCCCAAAAGTCAGAGTTATAACTTATACTGCTAGAGGCTTCGTGCTCTTGCTGACATGCATCATGTGTGAGCAAAGATGCAGACGCAGCTCGAGAACGCAGGTTGCATTGTGTCACAGCTTTGTATCTCGGATGGAAACAGTCTCTCGGATGGAAGCAGTCTAAGTTCACAGATGTCATAAGTTTTCGCAAAAAAAGACAAAACCTCCGAGACTCCGATTCTAGAATAATAGTCACAGGCGCAGAGACAAAAACATTCCAGTGGATTTCGAGAAAAAAAAGAGTGCTCACAGATTTCTCGCAAAACATCAAATCGAAAATACTGTCTTTGTCACTGTTTAAAACCCATCCGGTACACATCTCCATGTGTCGAAACAAATTAGATGTATTTCGTTTTCCGAGTGTTTGCTAGCAATCCCTACCACAACAATGCACGGGGGAACGCTTCATTCTTTCATTCCCGGCTAACCAAAGGCAAGAAAATGGGCTGGTGGAGGCGGGCAGAGTTCAGGCCCGGAGGCCTGGAGGACAGGTGTCAGGTCGGCCCCATCGTCGTGTGCTTTACGGCTGCCTACGCCAGGCTCGGGCGCATGCCTAGAGCCCGCGGCAAGGAGCCTGTCCCGACAAGTCTGGCTGTAGCCTAAATGTCGACTCAGTTTGACTGCAGAGGTAAAGTGCTTCATGCAGATGGGGCACTGGGTCCCTGGGGCTAGACGCCGCATCTCGTCGGTCCGACCATGCGTAGAAAATGCATGAACGGACCATGCGCGGTAGTCCTTGAAGTGTTTGCGACAGATTGCACAGCATTCCCGGGGGCCGTCAAGAACTTCACTAGTAGCCGACACTACGGCACCTGCCCCTTGAAGTTGCTTGAGCAGTAGACCCTGGTGACGCAGGACAGAGGCATGCCAGCATTCCCTGGCGACAGCGGCAGATTGTGCTCGCCTAATTCTGGCCTTCCATCGTCCGGGCCGCTGTTTGGCCTCCTCCTTCCAGACGGCCCATGCACACTCCCATGTCGGGTACTCCCGGGCTACATCTGTGAGCTCCCACAACCATTGCACCGACGAAGCAACGCTACGCAGCCATATACCCTCCCAATGTGCCAGAGCCCAGATTTCTGGTACATCCAGAACGAGGCACGAAAGGAGGTACCTGAGTCGGTGTGCATGTAGATACGTGGAGACGCTGGGTAGTCCAACCAAGGACAACACATAGGCGGTGCCTAAATGCCAAGCCTGGGTGGTGGTGTACATTGGTCGAAGCATCTGGCATGCCATGCTCCGGAGGGTTCCCGTAAGCTTCAGTACACATTCATCGGACGGCTCGGGCCAGGTGCCCGAGCCGTAGAAGAGGGTGGTAGCGACGAGGCTGTCAAAGAGTAAAGCCTTCTCTGCCTTTGAAACTCGTGGGGAAGCAAAAATTTGCTTCTTCCTTGAATTAAACGCCGTCCAGGCTTGAGCTGCCCGAGCCTTGACCTCACGTATCAGGCTGCCGCGATGGTGCAGTACCCCCCCAAGGTGCCGGTAAGACGCAGTAAGTCGCAGTCGGGCGGTCGGCCACAACCGACAGTCGAGCGAGAGGGCCCCATCATTGTCGGCAAAAAGGTGACGCCGTGCCTGTCGGGCGCCCTTAGCCCGAAGATGGACGATGGCTTCAGTTTTCCCCCTTTTGAGGTTTGGAAGCAGGGCATGTTCCAGGCACGTATCGAGCAATGTGGAGGCTCCAGTGCGGAGTCGTTGCACGAGGGTGGCTGAATCTGGAGCTTGGAGTAGCATGGATAGATCATCCATCCAGGTAGCATCGAGAATTGCAATGGTGTCATTCGGCACGAAAGGAAGAGGGGTCAGCCTCCCCGACATGGTGTCATGCCAAGGAATCTCTGGCATCGAGCCAGATGCATGGAGGGAAGCTCTGACCTGCCGCAAGACCTGGGCGAAGAGCAGGCTGAACACAAGGTCAGACAGGGAGTCTCCAGGTCGAGACCCAATGGCAGTCGTGACTACTGCCTCGTCATCCGGGAATCTGAACCACGTACCTTGCAGGGTTTCTTCCAGGGCACGGGTCGTCCAGTGGCTGGCCCCGGATGATAGTGACAAAGCCGGTTGCTGGAGGTGGCGTCGGATGTCGTGGTAAACACCGGCAGGCAAACTAACGGCCTGGCATGCTTTCGCAAGTGCCTCTTCAGTCAAGGGGCCACCTGTCACCAATGGCCTAACTATCCGATAGAAGGCTTCTTGCAAATCTAAAAACAAAATGCAGTGACACTGCCCACGCTGGAGGCATGCAGACTGGTAGAGCCTCGTAGCATGAGCCGGCAGCGTGACCGGGTGGCCCGGTAAGCCGCCGACCTGAAGAGGCGTCGCGGCGTTGCGAAGTGCAGGAACGCACTTACGACGCAGGAGTTTGTGCAGGGATTTACTGACTACGGAGGAGACAAGTATCCCCCTGTATGAGGAGCACTGCTGTCTCGGTCCCTTCCGCTTGTAAACGCAGTGGAGGACACCGCCCTTATGTTGGATCGGCTCGGCAAGGGTGAGCAAAGACTTGAGCTGCAGCTGGTAAAGGGGCCTGGCAAGGAAAGGCGCACAATAGTGCAGCAATTCGCCTGGCAGCCCATCAACACCATAAGCACGGTCAGTGGAAGTAGAACGGAGGGCCCACTCTAGGTCCCCGAGCGTCGGGGCATCACGGTGAGAAACCTCGTAGTCTTCCAAGCACTTACTCGCCTGGCGAGTCATGCACTCGCTGACGATGTCTGAGGGGGTGCCCGGGGTACCTGCTTCGATGGCTGAGAAATGGTCAAGCCAGCACTGCCTAGCCTCTGCGTCGGTCGTGGCGAGCGACCCATCTGAACGCTCGACTGCGGGAAGTGGAGCCCGTTCCCGTTGCTTGCGCTTCGGACCCCCAGTGAGAGTACGGAGTCGCTGCACTGTGGACTGGGTGGTAGAAGTCTCCGATGCAGCTGCGACAGTGCGTATGTGCTGCAGGTGGTCATATCGGATCTCAAGTCGAAGCTGCTGGCTTGACTGGCGGAGCTCGGTCAAGAAGGTGGGAAGGTCCCGGAGTGCCCAAAGGACAGAGGCCCAGGAAGCAAGGCAGGATCCAGAAAGGCACCTGCCCGTCTGCCAAGCTCTAAATGCAGCCCGCAGCTGCCATTGATATAATTGCCTGGAGGCTCCTTTGACTCGTTTACGGAGCCACTCCCGACGGCCTCTTAGCTGCCACGTGGATGCCCTGAAGTATTCGTGCCTGCACTGTGACCGCTTAACAGGGAAGGCAGAAACGAGGCGGCTCCGAAAGTGGTTGTCAAGGGCCTGCGCATGTCGGTGCACATCAAGGCTCCATGGCTGGAGGGGCACGTCATAGCAAATATGGCGCAGGATCTCGCGACCTTCTGAGGTGCGCATTGCTGCGGTGTCAAGACGGGGATGTTGCCGCCGGCGCGGGTGTCCAAATGATATGGATCCTTGTGCCCAGAGCTGGACTGCAAAGTGGTCTGCTCGGCTCTGTCCCCAGTCTAGACTGGAGTTGACAATGCTGCCCCCGCTCGCAACTCTCCAATGCGCGGGTATGGCAATGTAGTCTAGCCTAGCAGCACCGGCACCATTGGGAGGGTGCCAAGTGGCGGTGTCACCGGGATGGCAGGACGCGGAGGTACTGGGGATCCAAAGTGCAAAATGGTCGAGCAGGCGGTAAAAAGGAGTGGGCGGGTCAGGATTGGTGGTACCCCAAACAAGGTCACCGACAGCTGCTGCATGACTGAAGTGCATATGCAGGTTGTAGTCGCCGAGGATGACGAGCTGTGCGTCTTGAGAGATGCGGCGCAAAAGCAAGAAGAAGTCTTGCCACCATGCATCACGCCCGGGGCTGGCATTGTGCGGCGCGTGAATGCAAACAAACAGAATCCGCAGCGAAGAGTGCGTATAGCGAACCGCAAGGATTCTTGGCGTCCAATGGACAGCTAGAAAGTCACCAGGGCGGAAATAGATGGGGCCGCCATCTAGATCTGTGAAGGGAGACCTGTCTCTGCTAAACCAAAGCTCAACCCCGCATGAACCGTCCTCAGCCTTTGCGCTGGTGAACCTGACGTGGCTGGCAGAAACGTACGTCTCGCTCGCCCTGGAGCGTGTCTCTTGTAGAGCGGCAACACAGACGCCTTCGGCCTGCAGTTGGTCTCTGAGGAATCTGGTCCTTCCAACAAACTCGCCCTGCTCTGCACCGTCTGGCGTACAACTTTGGTCCTGTGGGTACAGGGTTTGTACATTGACAGTGAGTAGGCAAATGGCGAGCGTGCTTGTAGATGGCCGGTTGCGAGGCTGCCTATGGGAGGCAGGTGGAATGCCAAAGAATGCTTCGCATTCCTCTGGAGTAGGAATGGGCGCAAGGCTGCACGGCGATGAGACAAGAGCTTGCCCGCGTAGCTCGGGCCAGGCGTCTGGCCGAAGGGTAGCTTCAGCAACAAGCCACAACCACGGGAAAGACGCCCTACAGGCAAGCTTTGCAATATAGGCAGTAGGATCCTCTCGAGAAACTCCACCACCGGAACACGCAAGTTTGGCAAGAAAGTCAGCGACTTCATTCCCAGGATTACCGACGTGGGAGCGGGAGTGGTGCACTCGAAAATGGCGATCGCCAACAGAGCGGAGGAGGTGGGCTGCAGCCCTGCATTGGCCTGATAAGGAGGCTGGGTCATGGACATCACCATTGCCAGATGAAATGGATATGGCTGAGGTGCAGTCAGAGTACACATCAATAACGACATGAAGCGGGAGCTGCATGCTCCAACAGGTCGCCCAAAAGAGTGCAGCGACTTCTGCTGAGAAAGCACCTTCCTGAAAAGCCCCAAGATAAGTCGCCTGGGCAGGGTCATGGGTGAGGCGGTTGCCCTGCCACCCAAGGTGGTAGCAGTGACCACCTGCGGTCGCACAGACATGGAAGGCCCAGGCAGATCGACATCCGTCATATGATCCATCCGTATAGATGTCGACACTCTGCAGATCGCCGTAGGGAACATTGTCAAGGCAAGGGGGCCAACCCCATAACCATTCTAGAACAGCTTGCGGGACATCAACGGAAGGCAGTGGTTCAAGCTGCCAAGATCCTGGCTGGAGCAGAGGAACGATGTCATCAAGGGAACAGTCAACCGGCAGGTGCACCTCAGTAAGGTCGAAAACTCGGCCTGGTGCGAGATGATCAGAGAGGCGGATGGTCCTGGCATCGTCAGGAGGACTGGCACCTGTGTCAGCCCGGTCTGGCGGGGCCCCCTTTTCAAGGAAATGTTCAAGCAATGTCTCGAGAAGTGTTCTGGCAAGGTAGAATGCTATGCCACGAGTCTGGCTCAGAGACTGTTCTAGGAGGGTGGGGCCGAGCCAAGGAGCAGTTGGAGAGGCACTGGACTCGACATTATGGGTGGCTGTATCTCGAACTTCAAGTACAGTTGAGGATCTGACAACAGGGCCGACTCTGGCATGGTTTGGCAGGGGTCGAGAAGGACCCGAGCGGCACGGAGTAGCAACAGGCCTAACCCGCACAGTGTTAGCCTGGCACGCAGCGTGGGTCTGCAACTGAGGAGCCGAGAGTACAGGGGTGTCGGACAGAGGCCCACAGCTCTGGGCATCAAGAACAGAATCTGTCGTCCACGTGATAACTCTATCGGTCTTCTCAGGGAGCGCACACGTATCGTACAAGGTGCGGCCGGCTACACTGGGTGGCATAGCAGCATTTGGGCGGACGGCCGATCCCCACACAGCAAGGAAAAACAACCATCGGTAGCCGATGGCACGCAAACCAAGTGCAGAAGGGGACGAACCAATGCCAGCGTCGGTGCACCGTCTACCTCTGCCATGGGCAAGGTCTCCTGTTGGAGGGAGCTGGGGGTCACGGGAGCCTCCGGTCCCTGCATCGTGTTGGTGCCTGGCTGCCTCTGACTGCTCCTGATGCTGGAAATGGGGAGGAAGTTCAATGCCTGCCTGAAAAGTGGGGCTCCGGATGGGCCAAGGCACAAGGGGGGCAGGCTCAAAGGAAACCCGAAGCACTTCTCCTGGGCTAAGCCGGACGAACTGTTGTAGGGGTGGGGGCTCGGGTCGGCCGCCCTCGCACACTACCTGCAGACCGGGGGGGCATCTGGTTGCAAATCGCTGCTGAAGAACTCGAAGGTTAAAGACACCCCCTGCGTTTGCCCCCCACTCAAGTCCGCGCGAAATCGGACGCAGGTCTAGGACATAGGGGAAGAGGCCGGTCCCCTCAACAGCAAGACGAATCCCTAGGGTCGTCGCGATGACTGCCGTGCTGATACGCTGCCCCTGTATGGTGAGATCACTGAACCCAGGGTGGCAAGGCCGAACCCTTAAGGTGTCACGAGGGACGCGTAGGGCCCTTGAAAGATCCTGGCGGAGATGATGTCGGCGTGCGGACTCAAACCTGAAGAGACGCTGCCTATCGTCAGCCAGCAACCACAGATTCCTAGGACCTCGAGGGGTAGAATGGGGCAACACGGCCCAACCCTGTGGGTCGCATAGCATATCTGCAAGAGAGGCAAGTATGGCTATGGCATGATTGGCTGGCTGAATGGAGACAAGGTCTCCAGGCTGAAGCTGCACAGTGACGCCCTCTGCTAGAGGCCAGGGCATGTCCCTGATGTAGACACGTACTTCAACGTCAGTCGGTAACGTGACTAGGGCAAGGAGGGCTGATCTCTGTGATACCGGTGGCGCTTCTGCCGCAAAGAAGGAATGATCAAACCCGTTGTCAACAAGGACGGGTACGCCTGGCCCATCCCAAGGAGGGAGAGCAAGAACAAGGGCACAGTCAGCACGAGGCTGGTGACTGGCCGGCAGAAGCCTTGGAAACCATCTTGAATATGGCTCACACCTGTCATGGGAAACTTGTTGCAGGGCTCTTGTGACTGTGGTCGGCATGGGGAGTCGTATAATAATCTGCTCTGGATCGTAGTCAGGCACACAGACATGAAAGATCAAGGGTATGTGGGAAGGCGCATTGGTATTACCGACTGCTGGGACAGGTGCTGTAGCCGTAACATCCCGATCCGGCACAGGGGCTCGCGCGGCCGCGTCAACAGACGAAGACAGTGCCTCTTGCGGTGCGGACCCATCCGATGTGGCAGGGGGGACTGCGTGGTCCTGCGAACCAGAGCCAGCTAACGTGGCGACTATGACTTGACCTGGAGCTATCCAACGGACGGTATTGTCTGTCGTGCGACCATCAAAAAGGAGGTGGAAGCCCCAGGGCACATAATCCGCAAGTTTGGCGTGCAACGTCCTCTCAGGGACGTATCCATTGAAAATCAAGACCTCTTTGAACGCTGCCCCGAGGGGGCGACAATCGACAAGCGCTGCATGCCACACAAGGCCGACATTGCCCGGCGGCGGGTGTGCAACAGCGATGACGTACGGACAGTGTACCCCTTGGATTGCAACGTTGGTGGGGCTTGGATGTGCCGCAAACAGGCGCATGCGCGCAGGGTCGGCCCCAGTAGTGCCTGCAATAGCAGCTCTGTAGCGCATCGGCTCGCGCAGAGCATCAACGCAGAGCCTTGTCATGCCTCGATGAACGAGGCAGTGTGCCTCCGGTGTCTGGGGGGAGGGTAGGATGTTATCTGGGCTCCAAGGCATAGGAGCCTCTAACAGTTCGCCTAGGGTACGCAGGGTAGGGATGGCGCTCTCAACATGTCTAAATGTGACGAGTGCGCCTGGGAACAGATGTACAGCATCATCCCCAATGGGGGCCTGGTCGACACCGTAGTGTACATCATAGTCAATGGCTGTCAATAAGCCTGCAAGACGCACAAGGTCTCCCTTGGTGGCATATGTTGGTGCGGATTGCAGAAACAGGCGCCCATCGACAGATGTGGTGTCAATGCAGATAAGGTCCGGAGCAGCATTCCATGTCTGGTGGGCGATGCAGACCACAACTCCACAGGACGGTTGGGGGAGAACAGTAAGCAGCTGGGGAAACTGGTCTGCATCTTCAGGGTGTCGGACACGACTAAGCTCTTGTAGGAGCTCGTCCGGAGTGGCCGGGACCTCGATCGCAACTTGGAGGAGCTCCGGCGTGTAGTCAAGCTTGAGAATGGCACATGGCACTATGCACAGCGAATCATTTTCTTCGGGGTCTGATGTGTCTTCAGGCTCAAGCAAAAACTGGGCGAAAGCAGGCAGACCCCGTGGAGGATCGGTGATCCAACGATCGCCGAAACGGCGTGTGGCATCTCTGAGCCGATGAAGTGTGCGGGCCTCGGCTCTATTGCTGCAGGTCGGCTCTTTGAGAAGCTTACTTTGACGGCCAGCGAGGCCGGAGGGCACCCTACAACGGCATAGTGCTAGCGAAATCATCCCAATTGCAAAGAGGACAATTAGCCAGACCAGCCCATATGTAACTGCCAGATTCAACACATCCCTCGGCATGGGGGAGAGCAGGGGGCCAGCAGGAGCACTCTCAGCAGAGGGGACCTGTGCAATACCGAGTGCAAGGCCAAGAGCTGTGCCGGAAAAGGACAGTCCGGATCCCGCAGCCGGCGAGGCATCCGGCCCAGGACGATTAGGCAGGCTAGTGCCTCTTGGCGGCCTGGAGCGTGAACGCGATCTCGACCTCGCGGGAGGCGAGTCAACCTCGTATCGTACTGGCTGCGGAGGCGGAGGTCCCCTTGGCGGATCGTCGGGACCAGGCACAACGTCTTGAGAGCTCATCATCAGGCGTACGGAGTGGGTCCTCGGATTCCTCACTGGACGCAGAGGAGCTTTCCTCCTCAGTGCTCCAAGGGTGGTCTGGTTTAAACCCAAAGACAACGATGTCTCCTTCAGTCAAGTGGATTGTTCCTAATCGCCCAGGCCGCGGGGAAACCGCGATGCGATAGCACGGCGGTGGGCGGAGGTGCAAATTGACAAGGTGGTGGGGGTCCGCATTCGAAGACGGCAGGTAAATGTGGGTAACCTCCTGTCCAGCTTGTCGCGCATCAAGGAACACAAGAATGCCTTCTCGCTCCGGGAAAGGGGTGAGCGGAAAAACTGCCATCACATCTCGGCACTTGACGCCCCTAAAGTCTACGTTGGCTAGACCATCTCCCGGGGGGGCTATGAATAGCGTCCTTTCGGGCGTGCTGTCAACGAGGTCAGCTAGAAAGCTAAGGGTTGACGAGCCCGGGCATCTAGCTGCACTATACAAGGTGGTCCTAGCCCCATGCATTACTAGGACTGGCTTATCATTATTGTCCGAGGGCATTTGCGGGTTCGGAATCCACCACTGTGGCCTGTCGAACCTCGCTGTCAGTGTACAGTACCAGCATGCCGGCTCTCCAACCGGTCTGAATTGCACAGTGCAGCCAAGGGTCGCAAGAAAGGTATCTCCCGGCTCAAGCGCACGGGAGAAGCCCTGCACATAGATACTGCACGAATCGCAAGACTGGAACTCCGCCTCAAGTTGACAGTCAAAGTGCGACATGTTTTCATGCATAATTTGTGCATACACAGGGCCACCAAAGGCACGAAAATCGAAGACAACGCACTGTTGTCCTGTCTGTGGCAACCATTTAGGGGCTAGCACAATCGAGGCATAGTCGGGACCCAATTGAGGAACAGTGGGAGCGAGGATCGTACAGTGAGGGAGGCGCAGAAGCTGGAGTCTGTCCCTCACTGCATTGAAGAAAGTCTCCATGTCAACCGGAGGCTGCAGTGTGAGCTGAAGTGTCTCGGCCTGGTATTGGGGCGCCAGCACATAACAAACACCTTCAAAGCTGCGAGGGGTCGGCTGCCCAACCTCGGGTGGGGGGTGTAGTGGTGGCACCGGGATGTCATTGCTGTTCTCTAGAGGCCGTTGCAGCTCATGGTTTTGGACATGAGTCAGAAAATTAATGTGCTGATCCTCGGGGCCCTGGAAGACAGAAGCTGCTCCTCGAGGGAAGGCGGCATCATCGATAGGTGCCGGAGCATGCTCGGCTTGGGCTTGCAACTCCTGAATGACTGACCTCCATGGTTCTGGAACGGCCCAAACCTGAACAGGCAAGCTCCACAAAAATGATAACCATAGGCCGCTCCAGCCTGTGCGTCCGACGCGGAACCGACGTGATTGGTCGGGGGGGGTACCCTTGGGGTGGAGAGTACCACGGCAGAGGGCTGAACTGCTGACACCATCTGCTTGCCTTGGTGAAAAAGATGCAGCCGGCAGTAGGAGAGTGGTCGGCAGACCAGAGGAGGGTACCAAGAGCAGTCGACGTAGGGGGCTCCACGGAGGCCCGCATTGTTTCAAAAGCAGGCTGACCAAGGCAATGAGCACTAGAAGTGCAAAATGTGCACAGAAAGGCAAAAGTAGGCCACACAGCCATCTGTGCAAAGCAGCCGCGCCTGCGTGAAGAGCATCTATGCCTGTAGAACTCAAAGGTATCTTCTGGCAGGCATTGCCGGGTGGCAAGTCGGAAACGGGGCCTTTCACAGACACCAAACTCTTCCTGTGACAACGAAAACCCAAGGCATCAGAGCCGCATTCAGTAGACCCCGGCAGAGGAAGCATGGGCGGACACCCCACAGCGACGGATGTGTCTCTTTCGCGCTCCTTGCAACCACTAGGGGGGTGGCCTAAACCCCAAAACCTCTTAGGGTCCGGGAAGGTAAAGGCAATGTGTGAGCATAAAGGCGGGGCCAGCGACCAGTACGCACAAACCCAGTGCGTCTGGTCGTCAGCGGAGGACAAAGAAGACCGCAGAGGGGGACCGTCACAGTCCATGTGACAGGTTCCCTCGTTGGTCTCTGCAAGAGGGGGCGCGCAACACGCAGGAACATGGGGCAGCAAGCCAATGGGGTGATGGACCTGTGCTGGACGTGGGAGGCAGAGAGGCGCTCTCATTGTCATCCAAAAATGGGAGCCTCCTAAAGGCAAGATGTACAGAAGAAAACTGTACAAGAGTCTATCGCAGCATTGTACATCAGTCCGGGAGGCACTCAGCGATGGGGGCCCGTGGATGATCGAGTCAATAGTTTTCTGTGGGAGGTATTCTCCGACCGGCAACAAGGTAGCAGAAAGCAGAGCAGCCGCACCCATGTGGCTGTCCGCTCTCCACCCGCCTGGGCCGACCAGAGTCCTCCATACAGAGAAAAACTGACCGATCTCCGGGGGCCACCAGTAATGCATCACACGTCCAGCTTGGTGAGTCCAGGACTGTGCGGAAGGGCTTTCTCCTCGTCTGATGGCATCCCTTTCGGAGGTTCGGCCGGAGGGCGATTGTGCGGCCCCTGGCCATGGAAAGGCATCATAGCACGGCGCTTTTCCTCGAGCCGCTCCCCAAGAGTCAGGCCATGGGCCTGCTCTGCAGAAGACGGTGCATGCTTGCTGGCTTCTTTTATGCCGTCGCGCGGAGGCTGCTGGGAGGTGGGCACACGGGTGCCTCCATCGCGTTGTCCGGTGTGCTTCGGTGAAGGGCGGATCCTTTCCGCATTGCCTGGGGCTCCGGGAGCCTGTCCAGCATTGGGTTCGACCTCGGCCACACCGGCCTTGGGGTCGCTCCCATCGGCTTGGTCCGGCTCGCCAGTAACAGGGTGGATCTCCATCGGCCTGGCTCCGGCAGGGTCGTGTGCACCGGCACTGCGAACTGCCTCCCATGCCGTGTCCACACTGTTGACCATTGATCTCAGGTCCGGTCGCATTCCGGTGTCTCCGACAGCATCGCGGTCGCCAAAGGATGGTCCGGGCTCCATGGCCCTCTTGAGGACACCGTCCATGGTGCTGCCCTCGTCTTTCTCCCATGCCTCGCGGGCTTGGTCCCATGCCAAGTCCTCTTCGGCACGCGTGAGCTTGCCTCCGGGTGCTCTCTCCACAGGGATCGTCTCGATTCCCAAGTAGGCACTTCTCACAAGCAGGCGGGCACGATTTTGCTCGTCCACTGCGTCCGCTATGTCTTTCTCGTAGCGGGCCTCGGACTTCGCGAAGCGTTGCTTCTCTTTCAGGAAAGATTCCTTCATCTGCTTCTGAAATTCCTGATACTGCGCCTGCTCCCGATCTCTGGCTTGTACGATCCTGGCCACCTTCTGCTCGGCTCGCCTTGCTCCATTCAGCAGCTCTTGCAGGTCGTGTACCATACTTCCAGGAGTGTGGAGCTCTGGCATGGCAACGTGGGTGTGTGTCTCCTTGGGCGGTGGGCGTGGCATGGCTGTATAAGACGGAAAAGCAGGTTTCCCATGCCAGGATTCGTCGGCCTGGTTGTTCCGCCACGGCCGCTGTGAAGGGGAGTAGGCACCCTTCCACAGTCGATAGCCACCATAATCCTGTTGCCCACCAGAGGAGCGCCCTTGTCCCTTGCCGCCACGCCCCATGGCGTCGGTGTCTCCGCGTCTGTATCGTGGCTTCGAATGGTGCTTTTCCAGCACCTGGATGTCCTTATCCCGGAGCGGCAGACCCTTCTGCCTTCGATGCCGTACTCGTTGGCGGAGTCTTGCCCTTTGTCTGCGCTGGGCTCGATGCCAAGCGGGCGAAGTCGTGGCTTTGTGCCACTGGGGCTACCGGCTATCCTCACCTAGAGGTGTTCCTGAGCCCTTATGTGTATATTACATACATGTGTATATACATATATATATATATATATATATATATATGTCTTCTGACCCAATTTCATATCCTGCCAGAAGGAGCAAGTTTGAAACACGTACCGATGAACTTTGTCGGTGTAGGGTCTCGGTTTCGGGTTTAGGGCTTAGGCTTCAAGGTCTAAATGTTTCAGGCTTCTGGCTTCGCTGAAGTATTGGCCTTACTGAGCTTCTGACTGGACTAATGTTGAGGGGAATCATGACGACCCCATGGGAGCGTACAAGACCCCAAATCCTAAACCCCCCAAACCCTTACTCAGAGGATCATGGGACTTAGTAAGTAGGTTAAAATTGGGGTTATAAGTCCCCTGAGTGGGGTTATCCCAATTATAAGTTACTTATAACTTTACTTACTAAGTCACATGAGCCTTTAGGTAAACCCTACGCCAAAGCCCTCCACACATGCAGTCAAGCTGCAGCGTCTTCCCCAAGCCCATGTCATCCGCCTTGCTTGCTTTGGGCTGCTCTCCCAACCCACCGACAACTTGAAAAACACCTACAGCCCCTACAACTCGAAACTCTTTACCCTAAACCTGAAACCCAAAACCCTAAACCCCAAAACCTTAAACCCAAAACCCCAAAACCCTAAACCCCAAAACCCTAAACCCCCAAACCCTAAACCCTAAACCCCAGAACAAAACCCAAAAACCCTAAACCCTACCGACCGCTAGCTTCCAAGTGGCCAGGAGACATCCGAGGCCGTTCCTCAAAGGCTTGGCAGAGCAAGCTTCTGATTGCGTACTTAGAGGATCGTGGGACATTATCCCCTAAGTCGGGTTATCCTGATTATAACCTATTTATCACCTTACTCACTAAGTCCCATGAGCCTTTGAGTAGTGCTCCGAGTAGGTTGGAGCTAAGCGGGCTCAGGGTTGAGGGGTTAGGGTTTAAGGTTCAGGGCTTTGAGGTTTAAGGATCAGGATTTAGGTCCAATTTTAGGGTTCAAGGATCACAGTAGCAGGGTGTAGGGTCCATTTTCAGGGTTTAAGAATCACAGTATCAGGGTTTAGGACCAAAGTTTAGGGTTAAGAGAGGTTAAAGGAGGCTGAGGCTTCGGGTGTTTCCCGAGTAGACCCCACAACGGAAGAGGATTTCTGGCTCTGTTTCTTCAAGTGGGAGTTTCCGAAAACAAGGGGACCCTGATATAGTTCCATAAATGATAGGGTCCTTATTATGAGGACCCCCAAAATAAGGCACCCCTAATTTTCGGACACTCCCAAGTTCAAACGGGAGCCACGAAATAAACCACGAACAAACAAATACTTGATGGGAACCTAGAACACAAACCCCCCCCCTGAGAATCTGACACCCTACTTGGAGGGTCGGGGGACTTAGTAACTGGTTATTTTACGGAGTTATAAGTATCATAACCCCAATTAGGATCCCTTTTAGGGTAACTATAACCTACTTAGAACCTTACTTACTAAGTCCCAGGAGCCTTTAAGTAGACCCCAAACTCAGAGCCCCCAGAAGGCCCCCTACAAGCCACAAAAAACCCAAAATATCTAGGTACGGCCCTCATACAGTAAGAGTCTGAAATAGGGGCGACTATTAAGGTCCTAATATATGTCTATTTTATGAATATTATTCAACTATTTCTCAGTGGGGGCCGTACCTAACCTAGACCCTACATGCCCAAAGCGAAAACCCCGAACCCGGGACTTCAAAACCCTATTAAAACAAACGCCTCGCGAATTACATACATTATATTCCTGACGGTTCCTTCTTACCTATATTCATAGTACTGTATGTCCCAAAACCGCAATCTAATTATAAAGGCCGCAAATACGCCCTACCTTAACCGGCAAACTAACCTTATATAATCCCAAAAAACTTACCACTTTAAGGCCCATGTAAGAAAAGTACGATACGGAGCCCTAAACACCGCAGGGTCCAGGTAAACTTGGAGGATCGTGAGACTTAGTAAGTACCTGGACCTGAGGAACCTACCTTTTTAGGGTTCCCTTAGTATGATTTCTTTATATAAGTCCTTAAAAAGGTAGGTTACTTGGGGTTAAGGTATGGTTATAAGGTATGAGTACCCTAATTGGGGTTATGGGTACTTATAAGTATAGTTGCCTTACTTCTAACCCTACTTACTACGTCTCCTGATCCTTTCAGTAGCCAGGGTCCACACCAAACCTTAAACCCTAAACTCTAGACCCTAAGACCTAAACTCTGAACCCCAAGCCAGGTAGAGCCAGAGCTCTGGATGTTGTTTGATAACCCTACTTGGTTTTGAAGAACCCTTTAAGGGCCAGAACTCTGGATGTTGTTCGATAACCCTACCTAGGGTACCTTATAGAACCCTGCATTATAGATCCCTAAACCCTCAGCCCTTAAAGATCCCTTTTAAAGATCCCTTTTAAGTAACCCTTTTGAGGAACCATTTTAAAGATCCCTTTTATAGATCCCTGGAAGGAACCCAATTATAACCTACTTACTATGCCCGATGATCCTTTAAGTACCCCAACCCCCCTTTATAGAACCCTTATATACCCCTTTCAAAGATCCGTTTTGAGGATCCCTTAAACGAACCCTTTTAAAGATCCCTTCGTTAAAGACGAAATGAGCCCTAAAAGGGTTTAAGGTTCATATACCATATAGGGGTTCATAGTATTAGGGTAGAGGGACCCTACTTTTTAGGGACATTTGGTCCTTAAGGTCTTATAGATCCCTTAAAGGAACCCTAAACCCTAAACCCTTTTGAGGAACCCTTTTAAAGATCCCGTTTGTAGTTCCCTTAAGGGAGCCAGGGCTCTGGAGGTTGTTTGCCATCCAGGTGAAGCCTTGCCACTGATAGGTCCGCAAGGATGCTTCCAGCCCGGCTGGAGATGGAATCTGGCACAAAAAGGGAGATTGCACATGGCCCAAAAGCCTTCGGCTTTTTTTAAAGGGTGCATTGGGACTTTCACTCTGCCGACTCCCTGCCCAATTTCGGCTTGCACTAGCAAAAGAGGCACACCCCATATTGAAGTTGCCAAGCAAAAAAAAGCCTTCGGGTTTAGGACTTAGGGCTGTAGGGGTTTAGGGTTTAGGGTGTTAAGGCTGGACATGGAATCTGGCATTAAAGGGTTTAGAGTTTAAGGGTTTAGGGGTTTAGGGGTTTATGCAAGCAGTCAGCAGACAATCCGAGCGAGAGCGACGCCTGGATCCTTAGCCAGAAGATTTAGATGTACAAATTACGAATTAGCCTGCGTTCGCACGGCGACGGGACCGACCACCTTTACAATAATTGTTCCACACCTCTTGTGGGGACACGTGCGCTATCGGACACTCCATAGGCTCCTTATCTGGGCCAAAAACATTTCTCATGGCACTCGAGTATTTCCAAGCACCTAACAACGGATGGACCGGTGACTGCCCCGCCGGTCTGAGACAGCGTGGCACTAAAGACAGACTAGGAACCATCTCGTGGCAACCATAAACCGCCAAAAACTTAGACCTGCTCAATTGAAATTCAATGCCGTGGCGTTTCGCCAAAAACTTCATAGCATGATAGAAAGTAGTCGTTTGTTTGCCGAGCGGTTGCCTGCAAACACGAAGTGCTGGATAATCCACTTCCGTCAAGAAGAGAGATGCGCACTTGCACTTGGCTAAACTAGGTGGGCGAACTCCAGGGGGGAGAGCCGCCAAATTTTGCGGTGACAACCAACCTGTCCGTTTCACGAAAAGGACATACACTTCCAAAAGGGACATCGCCTCATCTGACTGGACCCACTCCTGATCCCTTATAAACGTTTGCAGCACCCACAGAAACCTAGGACCTAGGAGGCCGTCTTGAAATTCGACAGGTGATGGCATGCTTTGCCCCCTCACTGCAACGAGCAATTTAGCCGACGATTGACCGTATGTACGGGCGGGCTCCACCTCAGGCCCTTGTGCGTTCGCAATATTTCCCGAAGACGGCTCAACTCGCGTCTGCGTAGTCTTAACTACATCTTCCTGGAATTTGAAAACACGGTGAGCTTTCAGAAGTTGTGTATTTGCAGCGGACACAGCGGCACGGAAAATGTTTTCCTGTTCATTTGTCCATTTCTTCTGGGCGCGCTTGGCTGCATGATCAGCTCTATCATTATGAAAGGCACACCATTTCAAGAAAGAAGTAGTCTGCTGCCACGGTTTGGTGTGGGAATGCACGTGAGTGATCGTCCATCCCTGCCGCTTATGGCGGATTATGGACCAAATCGCCCACCATAGCTCTGTTTCTGCAAGTTGGAGGAAGCGATCCGCCACCCAACCTTGTTTAAGCAACAAACTAAAACCCTGGACCACCCCAAGATTATCAGAAAACACATCTGCAGATACTGCACATTGCACCACTACAAAAAGAGCAAAAAGCTCAGCTCTATAGTTGCACTGCTTGCCTGGCAGAACATCTGCAAAAAGAACCTCAAAATCATGCGATCGAGGACAGGCCAAAACAACAGACCATGAACTTCTGGCCACAACTGCATGAGGCATGGTGCTGCCATCGGTAAACAGCACTGCATGTTCGTGAAGACACTCTTTGATATCAGGCCAAGGAAGTGACTCACAGACATGAAACCATGTCGCTACCTCTGGGGGGATTTCAAACAAACCTCTTAACAATTGGGTGTCGGAAAAACTACCTTGGGGATCTATTAACGATGCTGAACGAATACTCGCAAAATGCGGGCAGTCCCTCAACCTGTGAGTGTAGCTATCTTCAGCTCCACAGTAGCGACATTTCGCTGCGTCTTCATCCAAAAAATGTCGTTTTTGGTTGCTAGACAATGCTGCTCCCACAGTGAAACTTCCGATGATGGGCACGGAAGCCTGAGTCGCACGTCGTAGACACATGGTGTGTGTAACATTTACATTAGAAGCAAGTTCGTACCCTGGTTGGCTAGGCAGCTTGGGCTCCACAACAGCCCACCAAGAGTTTAACAACAACTCGCGCAGAGTTTTCTTTGATGTAAGGCACAGATGCACATGCAGGCCGGCCGAAGTTACACACGTACAGTGCGGCAAGATCCTCCAACCGAGAATCTGCAACTGCGCAAAAAGGTATGAAAATGGACCAAAAACAGGCGCCGCCTGCATCAGAGAGTTCCAGTTTGAACACAACGCCGCTGCATTATGGCAAAACTGCCGACGCAAGGTGCTGAGACGAGTGGTGAGAAAAAGAATGAATGGATCATACTGCACCCCTAAACCCAGGAGCGGTGACAAAAAATGATTACGCGCATTAGCTAAACCCCAAATTGCAGACGAATATTTCCCCCGGAGATTGCTGCACGTGGACGGCGCAGTGCTGACGAATTCGCAACCGAACGAAACAGCCGGATGGACAACTTTCAACGGGTTTAGGGTATATAGGGTTTTAGGGAATACCAGGACCCCCGAGTGCCCTTAAATGGAGCCCTTATGGGTCCTTAATAGCGTTTATTTGGGATATCATCGAGGGCAGGGGTCGAGTTAGGGTTGAGGGGGTTAGGGTTTTAGGGTTTAGGGGTTTGTGACGGTTGATGTTTCAGGGTTGAGGGCACGGCTCGGCTTTTGGATTTGGGATTTTTGTCGGTTCTGGCGCGACGTAGCGCTGGACAGAAGGTGGGCCGCAGGCGCCCTGAGTTTAGTTAATATACTTTAGGATTTGGGTCTGAGCACTTGAACTGTAAGTTTGAGAGTTACGTCTTCGGCACGCCAGGATTTCACTGGGATGGGCTTCTGGGATTCTAGGGCCATAGGCTTAGGTTTAGAGCTTCCCCATATAACCGCTATAATCGACGTAGCTTTGAAGTTTAGAGGCTCTGGTTTGGCGGCAAGTTCTCCAACCACTACCACTACACGACCCCTTGACCACTGGACCAAAAGTCCGTTAAAGCTAAACCTCAAAGCCACAACTCCGAAACCCTTAACCACTGAAAGCCTTTCCAAGGGCTTCGGCACCCAAACCCTTCAAGCCTATCATACGCGACCAAATCTGGGCCTTTAAGTAACCAGGGAGAAACAAGCACAAACTTTTATTTCATAATGGTTTCCTTAATAAATAAGTACGAAAGTATGGTACTCCAAAGCCAGGAAATACACTCAAATCCCTAACCCTAAACCCCTAAACCTAAACCCTATACTCCCTAACCCCCAAACCCTAAGACCCTAAACCGAAAGCCAAGGGAAGCTCCTAAAGCAAAGCAGCCCTGCAATCAAAGGGCCCCAAAGCTGCGATGAAGGTAATGTACTTGGAGGGTCGGGGGACTTAGTAACCATAAGGGGTTTCTTAAGGGCCTCTTTAAAGGGATCTATAGGGATTCTATAAGGGTTTAGGGTTTAGGGTTTAGGGGACTTAGTAACTGGTTATTTTACGGAGTTTTAAGTACCATAACCCCAATTAGGGTCCCTTTTAGGGTACTTATAAGTCTACTTACTACCTACCTACTAAGTCCCCCGACCCTCCAAGTAGGAACCTGATTCAGAAACCTTGGGCCTTTATAAGGGTTCCTTTTATGAATCCTACTATTTTTGGGGTTATAGGCCCAGGGTTTCTTAATCAGGTTCCTACCTACCTGCATCCCACCGGTTGAGGCATCCGATTTACGTAATGTAGGGGCCTCAAAATTAGAATAGCGTTTTGGGGTGTATCATACCTATACTGAACTTAGAACCCTAGCAAAAATTGTAATTTTAGCTGTTTCTTAGGGATCATAATAACCAAAAAGAGAACTCATTTCTAAGTACCCCTAAGATTCTATAGCTATAATAAGGCGCCCCCAGAACCCTATTCTGATTATTGAGGTCCCTACAGTATAGGGTGTAGGGTTTAGGGTCTACTTGGAGGGTCGGGGGACTTAGTAACTGGTTAGTTTACGGAGTTATAAGTACCATAACCCCAATTAGAGTCCCTTTTAGGGTACTTATAAGTCTACTTACTACCTACCTACTAAGTCCCCCGACCCTCCAAGTAGGGTTAGTCCCAACTCCACCTCCAGGCGCTCGCTTTCAGCACCTCCCCCCAGGCGGCGGGGACGGGCAAGCAGCCGTTCCAGAACATCTGAGACCTCTAACGCGGGCTTAGTCAATACCAGGACCCCCCAAGTGCCCTTTAATGAAGGGCATATGCTCCTTAAGCTGGGGGTCTAGGTGGTTGTAAAGGATCCCTTAATAGATTTATTAAAGGAATCCTTCTAGATCCCTTAAGGGTACAGGCTTGGAGTTCAGGGCTTCAGGTTTAAAACGTTTTGGTTTACCTGCCAAGGCGGTGCCTTTCATGAACCCTGAACCTTGAACCCAGAGACTCCAATATCCTTTAAGGAATATAGTTGTTGTAAACCACTGCACACACGCACTGATAATAACCCGTCCAAGTGTTAGCAAGTAGCGCACGATACCATTAGGTAGCTACACCTTTTTCCTGCTAGAGCACTTGTGCCACAATGCCATACACACAACATGATACTTCACACGTGCACAAATTACACCCCCCTCGCCGAAGCGTCAGTCTGAGGCGCAAACATGCACGGAAGCTTGGTGCTGTGTGGCCTGCCATCAAGGCGGCTGGATTGTGGCTTGGGGCTCATAGAGTTTCTACTACCGTAAAGCGGAAGATACGGAAGCAGATTAATTCTTTCAGCGCGCAGTTTAAAGTCGCGACATGCATTATAAAGTGGCGACGATCCAGCAAGCCTTGAATGATGGCGTGGATACAAGTCGCAAGAACGTGTGCAGCGTGGGACGAATACATCATCCACTGGAGCTGCTGACTGTTCGGATTTGTCACAAAGTGACTGCCAGGAAATGAAGCATGAAATTTGTCTGGTCTTAAGGAAATTCGGCCACCTCTAAGAGGGGCTGTATTTCGGAGTACCGGTTAACGTGACGGAACCACGAAATGTCGATCAGGTACTTAGTACCATCCTCGGGAACCAGAGGAGCGACCGTAGGGGTGGGACCCGCGCTGATAGCCTTGGTCCCAATCCTGTTGGTATCGCTGCTGTTCGGCTCTGCGTGCATCAGCCTTAGCCTGTGCAATGCGAGAGCGTTCGGCATTGCGCTGGCGCTCTTCATACGCGCGACGTGCAACTCCTACCTGATCCGCAAACTTCGACTGAAGCCACTCGACCCATTCGTCAGCGGAATATCCGAGACGTGGGTCAATGTAGAGTGCTTCCTCTGAGAAGGTCACGATCATTCGCACAATTTTGTGCTGAAGGAAAACATCTACGAACTTACGCAGACTGTATGCCCCTCCAAGCCACATGATGCAGAAAGGATCGTCACTGACAGCGGAAATCAGGCCTGCCCTAAGGGCGGCTGGATTGCACTCGTGCAGGTAGAGCAACCTTGCGATTTCCTGGTTCCGAGGGCCGTCTGCGCCGCCATAGGTGCCGATAGCGAGCTGCCTCTGCTCCTTGGAACGTCCATGGTTTGGCAAACCAGCATGAGTGAGGACATCCTCAATGGCGAGAAATTCCCGGTCGAATCCATTGCCGATGGAGTTCATGGTGTAATCGACATCATTATCGAACCGGTGGACGATGCTGGTGTATCCTCCTTTCACCGCCATTTTCAGCTGTTGCCGCGCCTTGTCAAGTGCTTCTGCGTCCAATGAGGTAGTCCCGCGTTGCGTGGTAGCATCCCTCGTCATCTCGTGGATGACCTCCTCAGGAGTGAGCTGGGATCGCGGTTTACCGGCCGTGGCCGCTGCAGCTTGTTCGGCGAACCATCGGGCTGTTCGCACCTTTTTGCGAGCGCCCTGTTGAGAAGGCTTCACAATGTGCACGCCACAGCTGAGACAGATCATCTGTCCCACAAGGTGTTGCGTCCCACAGTGGGGGCAAGCTCTGTGGCGGCCACCCGTAACGGGGGCTGGAGGGAGTGCCAAAGGTGTGGATGTAGGCTGCGGGGGCGCTTGCTCGTACATCGGCTCAACCTTGACTTCTTCCTCCTTTTTCACATCGCCTTCGTCCGGCTCGATCTCGATCTCGACCTCGACGGGCTCTTCCGGCTCAAGGAAACGAACACGCTTTCTGGACTCAGGTTGCACATCGGGTGGTGATGCTCCCCCCTGGTCCAATGTTGCCGTTTCCTCTGGAAGGAGGTCAGAGGCCGTGGCGTCATTGAGAGCGAGGGGTGCCAAAGATGCTGGCGGTCCCTCCTCAATCTCAACTTCAACCATGGGTTCGTCTGTCGTTGCAGACGCTGCTGTTTCTTCTGCTTCGTGGCCACCACTAAGTGGGGCTGAAGGTTCCTCCGGAACATCGGGGAACTGCTCCGGCTCAGCTGCTCCAGGATCGACGATGGGATCCTGAGCAGTTTCTGGAATGATTGTATCCTCCTCCTCGCTGGATTGGCGAGACCACAGGATGATGCCTTTGATGGTGTCGCGGATGTATAGCACACATGTCCCCGGCACCGCATCGCGAGTGAGTATGCCCTCACTCAGAGGTCGTCTCGAAGAGGTATGCATGGCGATTGACCTCCTGAGTGTCGAGCACAATCTCGTAGGGCAGGTTCGCTCGACTGCCAACTTTATTCTCCAGTTCGCTCAGGGTAGCTTTGGCAAAGTAATTGTGGAATTTGCCGCTCCTGTTGAACCCTGGCGTAAAGCCGGAACTGAGAATGTTGAAGGCAGCATCATGCGTCGTCCTGTGGTAGAGACGCGGGGGAAACTCCCCGAGAGCAAGGAATGGCCTGCCTTGATAGGCGGCTGAAGGTCCAAGCTCCTCTCGCGTATCGTTCGTGAACCAATGCAGCGCAATGGAGGCATCGGTCACTTGGTCCTTGATGCGTTCGCTGTGACCATGCGAAGCACAAATCCACGAGGGCCAAATGTCCGTCTCAATGAAATCAGCACGCGGATCGGTGGGGAGGCCTGCCAAGTTGAACCTCGATTTGTTATCGTAGGCGACTAAGGACAAGATACCTCGTGTTCCCAGATCCACACGGTGCCTCTTCCACATATGCTGAATGAGTTCTTGGATGCGAATCCATTTCCCGCGCCGTGAGCTGAGCTTCACGTTCGACCCTCGGACAGCACCTGTGAGGTAGCGCTCAACATAAGGTTTGAGGCCCAACTCAGGGAGGTGGTCCTTCGGGATCGAGTCGGGGAGGATCTGAACGATCTCGCTCCCCTCCGGATCCTCTGGGCACACATCCTCGTCGACGAAGCCACACATTTCCATCAGGTCCAAGTCGTCTTGGTACTTTACCCCAATGTAGTCGTGTGGGCGAGCCCTTAATAGGCCGCTGGAAGGGTCCCGGTCCTTCTTGGTCATGCCCTCTTTTGCCGCTGACAGAGTACGATGAGACTCTGTGCGATAAGGGATGGCCTCGATGACATCGTCAAAGGACACCTCCGGTACGTCGCGAGATGATGCACTGCCAGATGGGCCACCACTAAGTGGGGCTGGATCCGTCCGCTCAGCACGGGCACGTGCTTCCGCCTGCTCCTTCGCGCGCTTTTGCGCCTGTTCGCGAGCTGTGGCCCATTCCCAATTCAGGACATCCTGAGGGACCTCACGCATTCCGGTGACTGGAAGATCAGGTGGAGGAACATAAGGGGATTCCCATGGATCGGGGCATTCGTTCGCAGCTTCGCGAATCTCGGCCTGCCTTAAAAGGCGGCGGGAGAGCTGGGACCGATACAGTGCCTTGTCGAAGACATACTGCATGGAATACACCCGCGTTCCTTCTGGATCAAAAGGAAAACGGCGGGCCAGCTCGTCCAGCGTCTCTGCGGGCATCTTCGCGAATAAGTGGTCAGCTTGACACACTTTAATCCGCTGTCCGATCACAGAGGCCAAGGCTGCGCGATGTGTTGAGTCTTCGCGGAAGTGGTAGTGGTCGTGCTTCGGGATCTGGCATACGCTTTCTTTGAGAGAGGCGGTGTATAACCCCCTACTCCTTGCGTATCCGAGGAATTTTCGGATAGCTGTGCGGTACTCTGCTGGCAGCCCGTAGTCCAGTGGGTCGGCATCCGAGAGGATTTGTACTGAGCCCACCGTTGGCCTGCCCTGAAGGGCGGCTAGACGGCCAATCTCACCGCACACACGTGCGGCAATGTCCGCCCAGATCCCTTCTGCGGCAACGCCTTCAGGACCAATCTGCCAGTGTGGCGTCCCTGGGTCGACGAAGACTCCTCTGCGACCGCACAGTTCGTTGCCCATCCAAATCACAACGATATCGACCTCGAGATGCAAGGGGTTTAACGATTCGTTGATGATCTGCGGCAAGAGCGTGTGAACTGCCTCAACGATCGAATGGAGGTTGCCTCCCCAAATCGCCTTTTGTCGGACATTCGTGTATTGCTGAAGGATATGACCAGGCCCCGTCAGAGCTTTAAAGTCGTCCGCCATCTCAACGAATGTTCTCGCCCCAGCCTTGAAAATGAGGGTAGAGTCGGAAACAATGATGCAGGCTTTTTCGCGGCCTCGGCTATCGCCGGGCTGGAAACGCGACAACCCCTCGTCGTTGATCCGTGCCACCTTAGGGAGGGCCTTGTAGCCATGATCAACATCTCCCAGACACGTAGACAGAGCGGTTTGCGCGATTGCGCCTGTGTAGAGCTGTTTCACGCTCTCTTCCCAGTCACGGTCTGGGTTGAGTCCGAGCTCGTGTCCGAAGACACCGGCCCACATATGGTAGTGAGCCCACTCCCGCTTGATTGAGTCACCCGATGCAGCAATCGTCGCTGGCGCCGACGGCTTGTTCTCGCCTTCTGCTCGCACTCGGGGATCACTGATCATCTCTGGCGTGCTCTGATGAGCCGCTGCACAGGGGCAGGCAAGCACCTTCCTAAAGTTCGCAAGATTAGCAAGTTGTGAAGATGTGATATCCTCTAAATCATCATGATCTGCGGCTTCGTGCTTGTAAGATGCCTTAGCGATCGGATGCTGAGTTCCTGAGCGGAAGCTTTCCTTAGCACGATTCGCAAGTGGCAATGCCTGGAGCCCTGCGCACACCAGATATGCGTTTTCAAGTCGTGCAATTTCGGCATTAATTCCGTCGAACATGAATTCGTCGACGGGCCCACACAAGAGAACACAGAAGTTACTGGAAA